AGCTAACCTGAAAATTGTATGATGGAACCAGAAGCAGAATGCATTTTATGTCCTTGTGAGATGACCTAGGTTTACTCCTTCTATTGCAAAAATTGTTCAGAAAATCTAGTTTATTTGATACCAGTACGACGTGGTTATCACCAACCCAAGCTATGAGCAACATTTCTTCAAAAATCTCTATATGGTTGCTTTCCTTGCTTTGACATCTCCAGTGAAAGTGCCCTAGTTTGTGACAATTGAAGCACTCAATAGTGGATTTGTCAAAGTTTACCTTTCCTTATCTTTAACCTCGTCTTTAATAACTACCACGATCTCTTCTTCGATTAAAAGATTTCCCATAAAATCACTTTCAAAGGTTGTTCATCACATGTACTAATAATTATTTGCTCATACAACTATCCAACTAAAAAAAAGAAAACATAACTCTAGTAAAACTATAAAACTTATTCAAAGCTAACAACTTTCAACATTCTAGTAATAGTTGGAGATTTATTTAAATATATTTAATAAAATATATAATTATAGAGTTTAAATTTAAATTTTTTTAATTTATGATGTCCTTAAAACATTGGATAACTATATATTAAAAGCTGAATTTATTTTCGTGTAAAATTTTTAATAACATTGCAAAAAATATATTAAAAATACTATATTAGAGTTTTTCTAAACCTAAAATTTGTTTAAAAACTGACTATCATGAACATAGAAGATCAGTTTCTTTAGAAGGAACAATAAATTTATATATATATATATATATTAATATTATCTAAAGATTTTATGATACTAATAAATAGTGTGTCTAAGATGACTTTTTTTAATTGACTTATCTGGCTTTTTTTTAATTTAATTTTAATATTCTAAAGTTAAAGAGGAGGTGTGTTATTATTTATATTTATACTTTTTTAATTAGTATTATATTTATATCCCACGTTGAACTTGTCTGCGAGTTTGTCAACGTCCCCCTTGCAGAAGGCCAATCACCTGAGGTTGAGTACTCGGCATATAGGTGTACATTTCCGCACACAAAAGCCACAACGGCATGTACCGCTGTCACAGTAACCGATGTTAAAATAATAGAAAACAATCCTGTGTTTATTGTCAATTTTACATCATCATCATTATTATTATTATAACTAATTATATAATTTTAATTTGTTTAATAGTTTTAAGAACTAATTTTACTTTTAATATTATACAAAATTAGTTCTTTTGTTAATTTTATTGTACTTAGAATACTTAAATTCTTACTTTTTTTTCTCAAAGTCTTGAGGAATTAAATCATTTAAATTATTTTAAACTTTATTTTCTCAAAAAACACTAATTTAAAAATTAAGTTTCACTTAAAATATTTTTTAAAAAAATTCTATTTCATGTCTTACAATATTTTTTAATTTTTGTCAAAATTATACTATTTTTTACGCACAAACATTTAAAAATATAATATAATAAATAAATTTATTATATATTCTTCAAATATTTATAAACAATATTAATTTAAGAATTTTAAGTAGAATAAAGTCAATGAAGTGATTAAATTTATATAATATAATTATATATAAGTCATATTAAAGAAACTTAAAATGTAATTAAAATTTAGAAAAATAAGAAAATTGACAAATTATTAAGAAAACAAGAAAAAGCATTAATAGATTAGTCTCGTGTTGGACTTTTGTTAAATGTTCACGAAAAAGTGGTGGATGCTTTAGAATAAGAAAAATCTGTAGCTACTTCTGCATTTATTATTTATATATATTATAACTTCACATTTGACAAAATCTAAAGATATTTTTAATACAAATTAAAATTTTAAAAATAAAGAATAAATTAGCTTTGTTATTTTGTGCAAAATATTTTGTACGAATTTTGGCAAAGCTACGTGTTTCTTTATAATTGGCCTAATGTTAAATTAAAAAAAATTATATAAATATAAGTCGTTAAATATTATGAAAATTTTAATTTATCATTAATTTTTCTGAACATTATAAAATTCTTTATATTAGAATTATAAATTTTTTATTTTATCGTCATGAATATCATGACATTACAAAATAAAAAAAAATAGCTAGTCACTAATAAATTTAATTGTTAACAAATGATTTTAAGGATTATACTAATAAATAATGCATTATATATTGATAATATACATTAATATTTTTAAATAATAAATTATTTATTAGTATAATATATATATATATATATATATATATATATATATTAATAGTCCAAACATAAAGTGTAATTTAACATAAAAATAACGTTTTTTAGTGTAAATTTCTAATTTAGTCTTAAGAGACTAAATGAAAAAAATTATAATATTTAAACATCAAATAAAAAAATTAACAAAATGAATTATCATTTAATACAATTTTTTTTAAAAATTAAAAATAAATTAAAAAATATATAAATTTTGAAGAGATCAAATTCTTAATTAAGTTATTACATTTTAATAAGATTATATTATTTATTTAACATTTCTTATAATACTTTTATTTGTTATTACACTAGTCAATTTATTTTAGATCTTTCTAAATTTTTATTTTTGTTGTATAAAAAAATGATATTTTCAGCCTACGAAAATATAAATGACTTTAGTTTGAACATTTCAAAAAATATATGGAATTTTAATTTTCAGAATTTGAAATAAATTAAAAAACAATGTAGAAATCCAAAATTTGTTTTCATAACAGCGTAAGCGTCACGGGTCTTGTGATAATCACATACTTAACAATCGTGCAAAAAATGTCGGTACGGTGGGCCCCACTTTTATACATGGTTGGTGTACGAAACCGTACATACATAAAACTGTAATTAGTTGGTGTTCATGTTTGTTATATTGAAAGATGAAACTTAAAACGACCCCGTTCAAGCCTCACGCGACTTTTCGTATTGAGAAAAGGACAAAGGAACGTACATTGATTAGAGCCAAATTTTCGTGGGTAGGTATCCATTTGAATAAAATATTAATTTATTTGAAATAGAGATACAGCATACGTGTACTCTATCACTTTCGAGGAAACAACTTGCAGAAGCATATCAAAGCGTTTACATTGATCTTACACTTCTTCCCACCATTTAATCCACTTTTAAATTTCTACACTCAAATGAACAATGTTCTCCGTTTGCCTTTGTTTCTTCTTTTACCAATCAAACACTACACATTAGGTCACTCGCACTTGTATATAGTCCATGTAGACTTGTAAATGTATCAGATACACCATGTAAGAAACACTAAATCAAGCTGTTTTATGAAATAAATAATTCTTATGTAAGAAAATATGACTCAAAAATTAATATTAGGCAAGTAATAATAATAATAATAAATTATATTTTTAAGTATATATGTCTACTTTTTCATTAGCATAAACTTTTATGATTTGAAACGTTCCTTTTGTTTATTAAGTAAGAATGTTTATATAGTGTTAAAACAATTATATCATATAGAAAAAAAAAATTATGTCAAGTGCAACGAGTGTGAATATAACTTGCCTGGATAAAGTTATAACTGTCTAACTAATACATGCATAAATGGGTTACTTGCTAAGTTATTTACATCATGTTTATAAAGTCTGAATTTTCATTCAATTAAATAATCAAATTTAACTCAAAACTATACTTATTTATTTAACTCAATAAATGAACTTAATTAAACATATAATAAGCTAACTCAAAATTATTAATGAATAACTCAATTTATTTATGCTTTTATTTCTGATATTTCTCTTTATTTATTAAAACAATTTTGTTAAAACAATTTTAAACTTATTTATCTTTTATTCATGTAAATTTTCTTGACTATTAATTAAAGAAAATATTATTTTTTTATATTTTTAAGATAATAAATTTTACATTTTTTGTTAACTGTATAAAATAATATCAGGATTATTAGAAAGATAAATAAAAAGGTATAGATAAAATCATTTGTTAGCTTAATTATAAAGAATAATTTAACATATTTAATTTTTTTATTGTTGTTTTTATAAAAATATTTTAAAAAAATTTGTTTTTAATAAAAATTTAAAAGTATTAATTTATTTTACATATTTATCATTCATTATTGAACTTTTTTCAATTTTCTTAATCATTAGTATGATGAAAAAATTATCTTTAGTTAGAGATAGACTTGAAATATTATAATTAATTTCAAAAAATTAACACATTAATTTCTTCAAATAAATTTTATTAATCTAATTAAAAGAGACTGAAAGGAGTTAAATTTGTATTGAAAAGAAGATATTTATTACAATTTTGCATTTGCAATGTAATATAAAATTTAGGTGTTTAAACTTATTAAATAAAGAAAGTATTGGGTATATTTTGTATTTTCAAGAAATATTAAAGTACTTATTAAGTACTTTTAACAACTCAAAAAGCAAATATTAAATAAAATTAATATCTTAATATATTTTTATCTTGGCAGATTTGATGTTAACAATAAATCATTAAAAATCCTTTTTTATTAATTTATTTTTATATTTTTTGCCTTGAATAAAATGCTACACTCCTAATCAAAAGCCATCCAACCATTGACCATTACACAATCAAACCTTTGACTCTTTCTCTGATTGTTCCAACTTCCAAGCCTCTTATAAATAAGCTCCAAATCATTCGCCACTTCATTGGCTTGCTTCATCTCACAACCACAATTCCTCATTTCATTCCAACATTTTCTCAGAACCTTTAACCCTTCACTTCCCCATCTTCTTCTCTATATATACCAATCACTTCATTAATTTGCATAAAAAGTTTAATCTTTCATATTTGGGATCCATTGGGTTCAAGGTTCTGGAATGAAAATTCACTTGTATTTTGATACTATTCATCATCATCATCATCATTATCATCGTTATCATCATCATGTCAAACATACCCACATCCCTCTCTGAAATTTGTCTCACCCACTTTCGACTTGCCATGTCCACTGCGGATCCATGGCCCTTCTCATGAGCCTCATTACACGCTAGCAAAGCCCTCCTTTTACTACTTCTAGGAAATTCTAGAAAAAAAAAAAACTGCGGTTTCTGATTTTTGTGAAGACCATGCAATTCAAGCTCGGCGGGCGCGTGATCCGGGTCACCAAATGGATCTTCAGACGGGTCAGGATCCGACGCAGATACCATCGTTTGGGTGGTTCTAACTCTAACCCCATGGCGAAGCTTCTCACGTGGGCGCGCATGTTGAAGAGAGGAGCCAGACTCCTGTGCGAGAGGAAGGGGTCGGGTTATATTCCAATCGGGTCGGATCCGGATAGTGTTCCGGCCGTGCCAAAGGGGCATTTGGCAGTGTACGTGGAGGAGGAAGACGGCGCGTGTCAGCGCGTAGTAGTGCCGGTGATTTACTTCAACCACCCTTTGTTCAGTGATTTGTTGAAGGAAGCGGAGAAGGAGTTCGGGTTTGAGCAACAGGGTGCGTTCACAATTCCGTGCCGGTTCACTGAGTTTGAACGAGTCAAGACCCGAATTGCATCCGGGTCGGGTTTGCGGAGGAACCGGAGACGATTGGCGTGGCGGGTACAGTGTTGAACTACGAAGTGTTGATGGGGTGACTTGAAATATGCTTTCGGAATTTTTATTTTTAAAAATAGGTTTGAGATATTTATTTATATATTTCACTTTTTTTTTTTAATTGGGAATTCTTTAGGTGGGTATTTGAATGTTTCTGATGTATAAATGGAATTTTGAATGTAAAGTAGAAATTGATTTTTCATTTTCCTCCGTTTAGCTTTTGGGAGGACGTGAGTTTGTGGTGGCTGGTGGGATAACGTGATTGTGATACTACCTGATTTTTAATGTGCCCCAAACAACGACCACAATAACATAATATATGAAAGAAAATAAAATATATGGCCAAACTAAAAGCGATTAAATACAATATCGATAAATTACTTTTATTAAAAATTTTGTTGTGAACGAATTAAAAATTACGAGATAAATTTTTAATAATAAACTCAATCAGCACGTTACGATTCGGTTAAATTCAGATTAAATTAAATAAAAAAATAAGATAAAAAATTAGTAATAGTATGTACATTGTGTATAATATTTGTTTTATATTTTAATTATATAAAACTAATTTAATTTAAAGAGTATTATAATAAGTTTATTGAGAAATATAATTTTTTGTTTTAATAAAATTCTTGTAATTTATTAAATTTCTAAAATTTTAATCCAAGTATGGGATTCACTTTGATACTTTTGTCTTTTTAGATACTATAATATTACCGTAATGAATTTGTAACTTTAAATTTACAACTTCTAGTTTTTGTAGTTAAGTTTACAGCATAAACCTTGTAATTCTTTTAAAATTAATTGAAACTTCATAAGAAGTTAGCTAGAAGTAGTGGACACAAAAAAAATTACAATGTTTATATAATTTATAAACTATAATGGGCCTACGTGAACTTTAAAGGAAGGTAAGGATAGGGAGACCAATGAGAGGATTTCCTTTCTCATCTTTCTGCAGAACAATCACTTAACAGTTTACTTTAAAATCGATTTTAAAATGCAAAAAAATAAGGTTGAAAATAATTAACATGAACCTGCCTGCAGCATTTTCTCACCGAAAGTGTCTCTATCAATTGATAATGCTGAATCAGATATTTGTATTTTATATTCATTCATATAAAAGTAAAGAAGTCACACCCACTTGCTGCCTCGAGAATCAAGGACCAAGACAAGCTTTAAGGATATAATTTTTATTTTTATTTTTTATATCAGATGCTCTCTCCATCAATTCTCATGTATATAAAATGTAAACATTTATTAATATTTTTATTTAATAGTTAAAAAATTATACATATAAACAAACTAGAAAATTTATTTATTTTATATGCAAATGAAATTTGTTGTGATTAATTATATATTTTCTCTCATAAATTTTAAATGTTCTGCAAAATATTTTTTAGTGATTGTCTGTTGCTACTCTCTTGTATTTATTGATATAGTCATAAAAAAAAATTATTTTAAACACAAAATACTTAAATAAGAGTGACGAATATCAGTATTTTAAATACAAAAGATAATAGACACACTCGTCAACATGATACACAAAATTTCAATAAACAATGTCATTTGATTAACAGCCCAATAATTAACCCGCTATCATAACTAAACTATTGATAGATAATGACTGAAAAAAGAAGCATCATAATATGTATTAAAAAAATTAATTTTTTTAAGTGTAAAATTTTAATTCTGAAAATATATTTTTAGAAATATAGAATCTTAATTACAAAATTTTATTTTTAGAAAAAAATTAATTTTTAAAATGTGAAGATATAATTTCAAAAATTTAATAATAATAATTATTATTAGTATCATTATAAAGGGTATTTTGGAGGAAAAATTATAAATGTATTTACTAGGTGCACAAAAAAGTAAATTCCCGTATTAAATTGGATTCACGGAGCTTAAAGGATTTGTTTAGATATTTCTTCAAATCGCGTTATTTTATTCTTATTGAACTTTGACAAATAATCCTCTTTTAAAAGCAAGGGAGCTGCTAAATAGACTTTCCACTGCAATATAATTGAATCCTCTTTTATTAAAAACTATATAAATTTTCTAAATCTCACTTTTTTTATTTTTTAATTAATTTTCTCTCTCATGTTTTTATTAATTTTTAATAAATTTTAACTAAATAATATGTTAGAAAAAGTATTACCGGCATTCCTCTTAGTAACATTTAAAATATGCCACTACTTGCAATTAGCAATACTTTGACAAATGCAAAATATTGATGCATATAGCATATTTTAACTCTTCAAATTTTTTTTAACAAATAGACAACTGTATCTCTTAATTGCAGTAAAAGTGAGTGTTTAATACTTTTCTAATATTATTTTCACATAAATTATATAATAAATATTTACTATTATTGTTCCTTAAATGTTAAGTAAATTTAAAAGTTAAGAATGTTTAAATTAAAATTAAAATTTGAAATTGAAAAGTAAATAAACAAAGAAATCACAAATATGATTTGATATGAATAAAATTTCAAACTTCGATTTATTCTTAACTACCTTTATGTTACCAAATTTAAATTTATTCAATTGTATTAAAGTAATTTTTAATTATTTAATTAACTATTATTACTACCTAATAATCATAAGATAATGATAATTTTTTATTTATATGTTATCTTAATAATTATAGAAAATAAAAAATAAATAAGAACCTCAATAAATATAAAATTTGTTAAAAATAATTAACTGATTGAAAATTGATGTAATAAATTAATTTTTTTAACTCTTAAACCTAAAGGAATTTTTATTTTTATTAATTTATTAATAGTATGATTGTCTATTAATTGATAACTAAGAATAACTTTTGAATCATATATATATATATATAAAGGTTTAAAATTACATTACAAGATAAATTTTAGTCTAAAAAAAATGTATTTAGTTACATATAATTATAAAAATAAAAATAATTAAACATAAAATATTTCTAATGACAAATAATAAGAGAAGAAAAAACTCAGTAACTAGTTTGCTTTATGAAAACACAACTTTGCAATAAGAAGGAAAGAAAGAATAAAAAAATGAATTTAAGATGGAAAATTTAAGGTTTTAGTACGCAGAGACGAGGATAAGATGAACTCTTTATTGATTTCTCTATATTTTTATTATTTTTCTGCAACATTTTTACATACGTTGTTATGTTTGTTCAGGTCGTGTTGAAATCATTTTTTATAATTAAATTAATAAAAATTTAACTAATAAAATATTAATTTAAATGATAAAATAAGTTAAAATTCTCTAAATAAAATAACAAAATGATAGTTTATAAGTATAATAGTTACAAAATAAATATAAACAGATACAATTGTTAAAAAAAATTATAAGAGGTAAATGTAATTTACCCTATCAAGAATAGTAGCTATTATATTATTAAAATAGAGGCAATACAAAATAGCTCAAACTGATTGAAAAATTCTAGATAATGTTGGGAATAATCCATCTTTAAAATCAACCAACATATCTTTTTATAATATTCTCTTGACGTAGATACTCACTCAAACTTATCATATGGCTCACCTGTGTCAGTGACTCAATGGGTATTTTACAGTTTGAGAAGAAAGTGAAAGGAATATATTCTTTTAATTTCTCTCTAAAGTAATAGCTGAAAGTTCTCATTGTAATTCATTATTTTGCCGCAAAAATATGTAAAAATCATAATCTATTGAGGATACACATGATTTATAATTATGAATTTGGATGCCAGAAATTCGAGATGATTGGTAAAGTAAATTTAGCTAACTGTAAACTTTAATGTAACTTGTTCGATATAATTCATAATTTGATCCATAGAGACAAAATTGATAGCATAAATAAGTAACCTGCTCTTAGAAAGATAATTTAAGGCTAATTTAATATTTTAAAAATAATATGAATAGTACGATCATTTCAAGTTTTGAATGTTCAGGTAATCTAAAATTAATTGAAATATAAAATTTAACATTCACAAGGCTTTCCTACTGAAAAAGGCTTCACGTGAGAATTCAGTAACGACCGAAAAAGTGCCACCACCCCACTCTCATATTATCATGATAACCATGAAAGAAAGGAAAGTCTTTACTGTGAGGAAGCAAGGAAAAAAGAATGTTGAGAACTCATAGAATCATTTTAGCTTTTAAACTCTCAAATATGATATTTCTCTTTTCTTCAATTCTTAGAGCTCAAGGTTACACTACAAGAACTCAAATGTTCATTTATGGAGGGTGCTCTCAAGAAAAATACCAACCTAACACACCCTTTGAAGCCAACCTTAATTCTTTTCTGTCTTCAGTTGTTAGCTCATCTTCTCACATTTTATACAATAGCTTTGCAATTGGAAATGGAAGCTCAACAGCCTCAGAAGGGTCCATATATGGCTTGTACCAATGTAGGGGTGATTTAAGACCAATTGATTGCTCAAAATGTGTTCAAAGTTCTGTTAACCAAATAGGTTTGGTTTGTCCCTTGGCCCTTGGAGCATCTTTGCAACTTGAAGGCTGTTATCTAAGATATGAACATGTTGATTTCCTTGGAAAACCTGACACTAGCCTTTGGTTCAAGAAGTGTAGCAAAGCTGTGACAAATGATGTTGAGTTCTTTAGGCGTAGAGATGATGTTCTTGCTGATTTGCAAGTAGCTAATGGATTTGGAGTTAGTACTTCAGGTTTTGTTGAAGGGTTTGCACAGTGTTTGGGGGATTTAACTGTTGCAGATTGCTCTTCTTGCCTTGCAGAAGCAGTGAGAAAGCTGAAGAATATATGTGGATCAGCAGCATCTGCTGATGTGTTCTTGGCACAGTGTTATGCTAGGTATTGGGAATCTGGCTACTATGATGAACCAGGTCCGTTTGATATCTCATTCTTTTTCCTTTTTACCCCCTATTTTGGATTCTCTTGTATTAATAAGTAACATTATATAGTCCTTGTTGTGAGAGCTCGAAAGACATAATTGTTACTCACTATAGTTGTTGGTTTGCATTCATTAAATTTGATAAAACTTATGTTTTTCTCAGCGCGATTGTATTATGTTATTCAATACTATGTGAGGATTTAATTTCTTTTTTTATACATTGTGCATTTAAAATTGAAGTATATATATGTATCTTATTCAAAGGCAAATCTTCTCTGATTTGTTTTTTTATTTTAAATTGTACCCACTAGTTAGTTTAGTGCTAATATAATTACATTCAATATTCTTCCCAATGAGCATTTGTTAAAGGAAACTTTGTGAATGACTAAACTGATTCAATTCTTCGGGGAAAGAAGCAAGAGAAGGAGGTTGATTTTTATTTTTTTTGGAATTTTGGAATATGATTAAAATTACTTAAAGAAACTTTGTGCCATTCATGACAAACATTTGAAGAGAAAATGGAGGTGAAAAAGATGCAGCTAGTACCTAACAAATTGTCAACATGTAATCTTTTTATGAAGCAAAGTGTTTACTTTTATGCTTTACAGGGACAGTAATTCCTCTATGCCCTTTTACTTTCTGTAAGTTTGATTACTTTTGTTTAAAACTCAGAACGCACTTATTATTTTATTCTCTATCCTATATTTTCAAGTTTCATAATTTGGCACAAAAATAAATTTTAATGTTAAAAATAAGATACTATGGAATCTAAGGACAATCTTTTAGTACCAAACACTGAAGAGTTTTATATTCTTTCTCCAATTTCTTAAACTAATTAATGGTTATGATGAAACAAAATGCAAAACTTTTATTAGATATGCTTTTGAAATTAAAAAGGTTTCCTTTACAATTTGAATATTATAAAGTACAAACCACTATTTTTTTTTTTAATCAAACCCAACAGTTTGGTGTAGTCATGGGATATTATAGCAGCCTTCCTTAGTATCTTACAAATCAAATGCACACTATACAGTAAACCAATAGTTCTGATCGTTGCTTTTCCCTAACTTTGTGTTTTGTGCAGAATCTTCCAACGACGATGACCAAGTGGGAAAATCAGTTGCCATTATTGTGGGAGTACTAGCAGGTCTAGCCATTCTAATTGTCCTCCTCTCAATCTGCCGAAGAGCAATGGGTAACATTTGATTTCTTAATCTTGTAATGCTTATAATAAAATGAAAGAAAAAGTCTGTTTTGGCTGCAAGATTTTAGTTTTTAATTGGTGCAATACGACTCCTTATATATGTGATAAATTTTTCATGACTAAATATACAAGATAAAACATAATTTTTTTTTCTAAATTGAATAACGACTGATAAACTAATGGGGCTAATATTCAATATTTTTAAATTATATGCAGGTTAAAAAAATTGTAGGTGGGGATTACACTCAAAGAAGAGGGGTAATCATTTCAAAAAGTAAGCAAATGTTTGTTTAAATTTTATGAAAGTGCTGCTTCCACTTTTGTGCTATTATTAATACATTATGTTTTTCAGAGGGTGGATGTTATGTGTACAAAGTGGCACTCTCATTGTTCATCAATTTCAGAAGGGTTGTTGAATCCCTTGCCCACGTTATCTCCCGACAAAATATCATCATTCTTTTTTTTTCATGAAAATTAATTTCTTTGTTGCTCTAGTATAGTATGATTTCTTTCTTAATAGGATTACTTTATTGTACTACCTTTGTTGACATATTTTGTTCAATGCCCTCTTGAAAGGCAATCTAGATTGTTCTGAGTTTTAATTAATTAACTTGTTTATGGATTGCAAAGCCTCTTTTAAAAGTACAACCTAGTTTGAATCACAATTTTCATAAGCAACAAAACTATAACCTAAAACTCATGTGAACATTTAAGATTTTCACATAGATGTGCGTCGAATTAACATTGTATATAATGGATCTACGTTACCATATTTTGACGTAAAAGCTATAATTTATGATGATAGTAGTAGTTTATGTGGATTTAATGCAAAACCAAGTACACTAGTAGTAGTTTATGCATTTCAAACTCATGTTACTCAACGCATATTCAAACATCTTGGTAGTAAAATTAAGTCTGATAATCTGCTAGTCTTATTGCAATAAAGATAGTGTATTTAAAAAAAGTAATGCCATTTTCTCTAATATATTAATTTTTCTAATATTTTATAAAAAAAGTATTAAATAAAAAATTATGAAGCTTGATTTAAAAATAATGATTTATTCCATAAGAAGGGAGACTGGTTTAGATTGATTTAACAGTATTTTCATTTTTCTTTCCAACTCATGTAATAACGATAATCAGAGTTTCGTTTTTTTTTTTCTTTTATAAATTTGATCGTCTTTGTTTGTTTAAAACAATGCCTAGTCCCAAATAATTTGGCACCAATCAAGACTTGTCTTCATTCTTATTTCTTTATTATTTTATTTGGTTATATTTTTTTTCTTTTTTGTTCATATGTGATATATCTTCATTGGCTTGTTTTTCGTTTTAGGTTGATATGTCTTCATTGTCTAGGGGCTTTTTCATTCTTAATTTGGGTTTATTTCAAATATCTACAAAAATATAGATCTAATTACTCAACTTTTATGTAGGTCCAGCAACTTTTTATTGTTCTGGGCCTTAAAATAATAAAAATGGTTTGCACCCAAAAGAAAAAGAAGTAAAAATCTTACCTTAATAGAAGAAATGTTGGACAGTTATAAGCTAATTATTTAAATGCTGTAATGACAAAAGCAAGAAAAATGCTATAAGGATGGATTAAATATCAAAACTGCAAGTCTTAAGTTTAAGAACATTCGAGAGATGTAAAGTTGCAAACTCGTTTGTGACAATGATGTTTTTGTTTTTGTTTTTGGATTTTAAATTGTCAAGAATTAGAATTTCAAATGATTCTAGCTAGAATTTAGATGTCGTAAGACTTTACCTACGAGAAAAGTTGGATAAGTGTAAGTATTGAAAGTCAAACATGATTACATAAGGCGTTTAATTTTAATGAAAGTTGACTGTTGCAAGAGATTGACAAGTTTTTCTTTTGAAAAATTAACAAGATTATAAGTTTAATTAACTTAGCGCGAGATTTTTTTTTTCTTAACATATATAATGTAAATGCATCTTAATTTTAGGTTCATGCCTTTTAAATTTTATCATATAATAATCTATTATATTTAAATTATAAAATTTATTAAAATATCGATTCGATTAGCTCCCGACTTAATCGTTAGGTGATGCATAATTGAAATGCACTTTTTTTAATGGAAAGAAGGAAAAAGTGGGTGGCATGAGTTACACTGTACTTCGCACACTTTATCCAATAATATATTTTATAAATAATTAACCTTTATAATATAATTTTAAGTCTGTGTTCTGAAAAGCGATGTAGTCAGTAACCATTCATACAAAAAGCCTATTTTGTTAAATATATATATATATATATATAAATAAGTGTTTAAGAATTGATCCAAACTATTTTAAAATATTAAATTACAAAACATTAAAAATTTATAAATATGCTAAAATTATAGTTATTTTTTTTTATATAAACACTAATCTAAAATATATTTTATTCAATGTATTTGTATTTTAAAAAAATGAGATTAAAAAATATTTGTTATTAACGAAGAAGAAAGTAACTCCTAAAATGGTTTTATCTAAAATAGTTTATAAAGTAAAGTTATATTTAATATACAGAGGCATATACACACATAATATTTAAAATTATGAAAATCATTTATATCTACAAAATGTGAAATAAGATTTTAATAAATAATTATTAGATTGTGTAACATTTTTTATTTTTTTAATCTTTTTTATATACATATCATTTTAAAAATATATCTCAAAATTAAAAGGGACAATATCTTGTTATCTTACTTTTGATAGTAAATAACATTTTCAGCATTTATTTATGTGGGGTCATCTCTCTTAAATGTATAACCGAGAAGACAATTCAAGGTCCTCTAACTCACATATTAGATTGATGACCCATTCTTAATTGCCCTATGATGTCGATACATGGACTAACACGAAGCTTCCAAGACATCAGAGATGACATGATCCAAATTCCAACCTCAACACACAGATCAACTCAAGAAAATGAAACTTTATTCTATATAATTTATAAAATAATCATTTATTGATATTTAAATTGTGCTCACACATGGACTAATCTTAAGGCCCGGAGAGTAAAAACAATTCCATCGCCAAATGTGAGAACCTCGCAGCTTAATTAGATTCAATATGAAAAACACAGACAAACAGAAAATGACGACCTATAAATGAAACTTTGATCTTTGATTCTATAAACGAATGCAATTCCACCAGCAATAACAATTCTTTAATTCAATAGTAACAATATAAATACCAATACAATTTATTGGCCGTACCAAGATATTATTTTTTTTTCCTTGCCTTATTATTCCCTAGTACAGCCATGATATAGATTTGTACGGGACAAATAATTTAACATGAATCAATACAAGAGCTAATCACAAGGTGCACCAACTTATAAAATTAATAAGCAATTTAAAGCCCTGATGTGAAAGGCACGCCAGTGTTTGGTATCCATGAGTTACCAGCAATGAAGTTTCCAACAGTGAAAGGTGAAGCTTGAGAAGCACTAGTGAGAACATGGTAACCCTTCCATTTAACTCTATTGGAAGTGGAGGAACCTGGACCAGTGTTTGCATATTCAGCATAATACAAAGTGTCCAAAGCAAAATTGCCATCCCATTCCATCCAGCCAGCAGGGTTTATCAAGCTATCAAGAAAAGTTTTCATGAACACTGTTCTTGAGTACTTTTGCCAAGGCCTTCCAAGATATGACTTAACAGAACTTGGGTTGAAACCTGAGGCACCTGTGACCTTAGAATTGTGAATGATGATTCCAGTGTTTTGGTTTGGATCAGTTCTTCCTTGTGCAGTGACTGTGATGGTCTTTTGTGGAGGGGGTCTTGCATAAATGTTGCAATTTTGCAACACCACTGCAGCATTACCAAAGATGAAATCTACTGTGCCATAAATGTCACATTCCCTATAAAATTGCCTCTCTGAATGAACATATAGTGTGTCTTGATAACCCTCAAAGCCACATCTATAAAATACTGAGAGATCAGACCCTGAACGTAGTGCCACAGCTTGGTGATTTGCTGCCCCTGCAGTGTTCCTAAATGTGATGTCTTGTGCAATAAATCCATCACCAACAGCAGCTGCAAAAAATAAAATAAAGGATAGTTGAATTAATTAACTATTAATTATTGCTTACACTTTTTTTATGAAATGCCAACTATTTTCTATTGAATTATTGTATTAATGAACTTTTTTGTGGCTTATATATTTATTTTCAAAATCAATTACAAAAGTTTCTATCCAAATGCCGTAGTAACTAGTCTTGTCTGCTTTTGAATTGTTCAAATTACTATACCGATTGATAAAAATCTCATTTTCTACTTTAATCTAGGTTCAGTACATGGAACTTGGAGAAAATATCAAAGTGGGACATGCTTGCTTTGAATTAGGAATAAAAGAAGATGAATGCAATTTCTTTTAACTAGCATATATTTAAGAAGTGGTCCATAAAAAGAAAATATGATAATCTAGAACGTATATATGTCCCTTTCTGCATGTTAAACCATGCACGCTTCTATAGCTTGTTTGACTTCTAAAAGTCAATTCCGATCCCCTCCTATATAATTTACCTCTCAAGAAGCTTATTAACCTTTAACTTGCTCTCTAAGACAAGTTCTGTATGCGACCCTTTAATTTTTAAGACCACTAATTCAAATTATTCACGTAAATTTATTCTTAAATCAAACCTGCGGTTATAGAACGTTGTCTTAATTCCAATAAGAAACCAGCACAAAAAATGTTTCATTGACTTGCTACGGATTATTATATTTAGTTTCCCTTTATTATCCCTTTTCCCGATTGATTGATTTCTTTTTTTGAATGGACAATACTCAATTGGAGAAATATGAATTTTCGGAAGGATTTAACAATAATTTTTTTTGAATAAAATACATATCGAAAATGATTCTAGCTTTAACCACTTAATGTGGATCTTGGGCTCCACCAACATCTCAATCCTTAATCAAGACAAGATGAAGCTTTTATTAAATTAAGATTCCGTCTAATAATAGAAATTTGAGATTTCTTTAATAGAGGTTGTTGAAAACTAAACAAAATGATTTGATTGATATCATAATAGCATCTTTTCATTTTTTTTTGTTATTATTAATCACCTTTTGTCCAAGAACTCTTTTGTCGGTTTTTTATGGTAAGTACACCACTATGTATAGAATCATATAAAATTTGTTGGAAGTAGAACGCCTAGGCATATTAAAATAGTTATTTTTAATAATTTTTAAGATTATTTTTAAATATTTAAAAATAGTATTGTTTTAACGAAAAATATATATTTATCATATTTTTAATATAATAAATATTTATTTATAAGAGAGTTATCATTTTTAATTGTTTAAAATCAATTCTAAAAGATAACATTAATAATTTTTATTAAAATATAATGTTTTAATATAGTGGTTATTTCTTTCACAGACAAGTAAACTGAGTCATGATTTTTTCACACTGAATTTTACTACACTTTCTTCTATAGTTATTAAAAAATAGTATATTTTTCTCTTTCTTTTCAATGTCAAATAAAAAATGTACACAGAATGATGAACTTGATTAATGAAATAATAATATGTCATTAAAAGGTAAAATAAATTATTGATATATTAGCCTATCTATCTATTACCACTAATTAAACCATCATTAAGTAGTGTATAATTGGTATTAATATTTTGGTGAGTGAAAAAAGTTAGAGAAAAGAATATGATAGTATTTGCTTACCAACAGTGGCTGAACGGAAGGTTGTGGAGCCCCCTCCAACGCTTTTGCTACCTGTGATTATAGTCTTTCCAATACCATCACCAACTAACATTATATTCGTCGCTTTTATCTCAACTTGTTCATTGTATACCCCAGCTTTCACATATATCACATACCTTCCGCTACTACTCTTTGGTGCAGCATCTATGGCTGCCTTAACCGTTGTGTACTTTCCAGACCCATCTTTAGCCACCACCACATTAGCCTTAGAAGCTGCTGAAGATGATTGCAAGAGCTTTCGGTCACCGGGTTTGACCCATGTTGGGAACCCATCTTTGTAACTTGGTGGTTGGTAAGAACCCTTGTTGAGAGATAGTGTATTGCTTAGTAACTTAGTTACATTATTGGACAACAAGGATAACACAAAGTTTGGGACACCAAGGTCATAGAACCCATCTTTGCACGTTTCAAGGTTTGTGAGAGCTGTGCTTATCCAAGTTTGAGCTTCGGTTTGGGTGCACTTGGTGTCTATGGTTTTGTTGAGCCTTTGGATAGTGTACTCATAGAGTTCAAGGCAATCAGTCCATGCGGCTGTTTCATGGGCGTTGCGGCACTTTGGGCCTACTGAGTGAGTGTTTTCTTGGCCCTTTTGGGCTCTCTGTAAGGCTAGTTGTAGAGAAACTTTGAAGAAATCGGATTTGTTTTTGATGGGTTTGTTGAAAGCATTGCTAGTCAAATAGTACTCACATGGTTGGGGGTAAGGGGTTTGGTTGCACCATGATTTGATGTCATTGAATGAGTAGCCGGAGACAATGGAAGAAAATAGAAAGGGAACAAGTAGAAGTGTTATTAGCAAGCGAAATGGTGTCATAGTGAGGAGGTACACTATGGCTCAAGAGTCGGAGGGTGAAGAGAAAAAAAAAATAGGGAAGGGGATTTGAGGTTGGGTTTGAGGGTGGGTGGGGCTCATGTCCTAAATTGGAGGCCTTTAAATAGAGGGAGAGAAGAGGTGCTTTGTTGGACAATTATGCATGGAAATTTGTAAACTATGGGAATATTGCCCTCCATGTCTTACTTTTCCTACTTACTTTTGGATTGGCTCTATATTTTCATGCACGTCTGTTCATTCATTTGTGTATGAGCAACAACTATTGGAATTTATTAAAACACAGCATTTAAATGGGTAGCAATATTTTATAAAAGATTGGGAAAAAAAAATCGATTAAAGATATGTAATTAAAATCGGGGTCTTTGACCTTACCTAAATACTGATTTGGCCCAATGACGGCAATATAATCATCCAATGAAACGCGTTATAGTTACAGTATGTTCATATTCTTACACATATATTGAATATAGATACATGTTTTATATCTTATGACTTATGTTACGTCCATAATCTAACTGGCTGAGGATAGTTTCTAGCTGGGTAGTATTATTGTTACTAATTAGGAACAAATTTGCCAACTGTTTACTAATTAATTGTTGGCCTCAAGGAAAGGCAAATTGTTTTTGATTTGCGTTTTGTCAACGATGAATTAACCTGCATGTTGCAGCCTGATCCTTGCCATTATAGTATTCCATAGATCCACGGCTAGATCACACACGCATACGAATTCATATATGTCATTAGTTAAATATATTAATCAAAATGAATTGGTATGGAGTAATTAATAATGGACCAGAAGTCTTGGCTTAGTTGAAAGATAACCATTGGCGAGAAACTTTCAAAATAGCTTTGTTCAAAAGAAATACTCAATTGTAAAATAGAAGGAAATTGACCCTTTGGTTTCAGCAGTTCCACCATTTGTATTTCTCATGGTTACGCTTCGGATATGTCCAGATTGACAGTAGATTGCAGTATCAAGGAGACTTTTCTTACTTTCCTGTCAAACGATGAATTGCTTGGCAATATTAATTTTCTTGTGCTGACTTTGGGACAGTGATGTATAGGGTTGCTTCATATTTTCAGTATCAATTAACATTTAATTTTAAGCATCAATTAAATTTTAATTATATAAATTTTATAAATTTGATCTACTTTTAAAAATTATAAATTAATAATTAAATTGATAAAATTTATTTTTGATAAAAAATGTTAAATATATAACTTTACGAAATTTGATATTTATTATTATTCCATATCTATCATTTAATTATCTTATAATTCATAAAGTACTAATTTTGATTATTTTTATAAACAAAATAATATTATTATGAGTTATATTATTTTCACAACAGACTTTTTTTAATTTTCTTTTTCTAATTTATAAAAAAATATAAATTTATTATAATAGAAAAACGATTCTATTATTGTTGTTAAGTAGAAGAGGTATTCAAACCTATTACAGTAACGCCAGCTATCCGTTTTAGTCAACATGCGAAAAAAGTAGTCCCCGTCCACCTATTGCTGTAATTCCAGGAAATTTATACAACGACCAAAAAAAACCCGGAAATTTATATAAAAAAGATACCTTTTTTTAAAAACAGATATAATTTAAGAATTATAATTATATTAAAGGGATATAAGTATTCTACTAATTTTTTATTCAATATATTAAATAATGTGTAAATACGAGATTCAGTGAGTAAATAATATATATAAATTAAAACGTATAAAACAGATGTATAAAACAACTTGGGATTGCACAAAAGTACCCTCATAGGCATAGCCAGTCCACTCAATACGTCAGATATTACTAGGTACTGCAATCTCTATGAAGAATTCTAAATCGAATCTATAATAATCAATTTATCAAAATGAAATTTGATTATATAATACATTTTTTAAGGTGCTACTGTAATTTTCAAAGATTAGCTCTATGAATAATTTGCTGGTGCATTCACCGTTAAAGACGTTTTGCATACTGAATAAGAGAATCAATAAAAAAAAATTAAAACGAAAAATTACCATTACATAAGCATCTACTTAATATATTTAATGTTTATATCACTTTGTAAAGTTAGAGGAAAACTACACATCTTAAACTCAATTGTTTGAGCTAGGAGTTAGGTTCAAGATTTGAGGATAAAGGTTCTATAAGTTCTTGAGTATAAGAGACTAAGAAAAATAAAATAAAAAATTCGTGTATAAAAAAATATATATACTTGATGTTTATCGTATGTTAACGGAAGAGCACATAGATAAGGGTTCATCATAATCTTCATATTTTAATGGTAGCTTCAATCAAGGTTCTAATGGCTTGTTCAATCATGTTTTATTTTTTCTATCGTTTTTTTTTTTTGGTTTTTGAAAATTAATTTAATGATCAATTTTAAAAACTGTTTCTGAGGAGAAAATAATTTACAGAATCTATTGTTAATCTATTAATTGGTTTATAATTCAAAATTATATATGTTTTACCATCCCTCGAAGGTAGCAGTATATATTCACTACGAAAAAAATTACTATTTATTAACGATTTTATGTTTAATTAGTTTTTGTTACTATCTATATATCACCATGCAAAATTTGAAGAAAAGTATAGTTATAAACACAAATATTGGTATGACGTAACAGCAAGGTTCAAGTCTTCAAGATGGAAATCATATAGTGAACATTAAAATGGATCAATAAAAAGTTTTTTCTTAATTTGGGGTAAATTTTTAAAATTCATGTATATGAAAAGATAAAAAATATAAGTGAAATTAAAAAAATTATATTCCATATATTATACAGTGTCATTTTTTTATATTTTAAATAACGATGCTATTTTGGAATAAAGATTCTAAGTTCGACAGAAGTCAGCTATAAAACACTTAAAAAAGAAAAAAGTAAAAGAAAATATAAAGTTGTGTGAACAGAATATATACTTTGATGTATCGTTATTTAACGAAAGCGCAGACAGAGAATGGTAGTATCCATATTTTATTGGCAGCTATAATCAGTGTATTTCTATTCATATTAACTACAAGTACAAATTTATATTTTTTTCAACCAAAAGAAAATTTTATTGCTTAATTAAATGCAACATGAGAATAATTCTCTAAGTAGAAAATACAAATATTACGAAAGGGTTTTCAAAATAAGGGTTGTTTCCTTTCAATCTCACAGTATTATAGGCTCATGAAGGTTTTATCAAATTAATCAAAGGCCCCAGCATGCTGATTATTACATATCACACTAGTCAAGAATGAGCAGCTAGATTCCTTTGAATGGATTTTCATAATTCTAAAATGTATAGATTTTCTTTTTCTGAAATGTCGTATATTGATAGAAAAAACTTAAATGTTATCCTAACAATTTTAAATCCTTTTATGAAAAAAAAAAGTTCTTCAAAGTCTATACCTATCCTTTAAGGAAAATTGTGGATTAAAAAATGTTAGATTAATAAAAAAAAATTTTGTTTGAGTTCATATTTGAATGAGTATTGATCTACATTTATTTTAATATTATTAATTATAATTTTTGTATTAAACCTATGCATGTTTATAAATTTTTAATGTATTTTCAGCACACTAAAAATAAAAAGACAAAACATAAGTATAAATTTTTAAGTACTAAATTTATTAATCAAAATTAAAATTTTATCTTAATAACTCTAAATGATATTAAATATTTTTTATTAATTTAAAACTTTAATTTTAATTAATAAATAATAAAAATATTTTAAAAATTACACAAAATAAAATTCATACATAATTCGCCTAGTTAGTATTGTTGAGTTCGTAAAAAATGTTTCTTCTTTTTGTTATTTTATAAATATAATATTTGTTTATTTAAGATTTAATTAAAAATAAAAAATATTAATTAAAATTATTATCGATATATTTTTATTTCAAGTTTTTTTATAAAACTATTAATTTCTCATTAATTCTTTTGAGATCAAGAACATATTATTAATTCTATCTCAATTTATGGGACCAAAAAATTTCATGAAGTCATCAATACTTATTTACATTGAAAAACGAGATGAGTTTATAATACGTATTTAGAGGGAGTTAGTTGTTTAACAGTGTAGACTTATCCTCTGAAAATTAAGATTGCCATGAGATGCAGCCGTGTGGCGTTTAGATCAGCAAACATCATTAAATCTAATCTTGACTTTATTGGATAGACACATCATTAAATAATAATTTATCCACACTCAAAGGTGTTATAAACAACTAAAATATATACATAGTAATCATTTGGGATGTTGGCTGCTCATTGACACTTTTCACTTTATTAACTTATTATTATGGAATATTGACAAACATTTTTGTATCTTAGTTAAATCGTGAGCTTAAAACATTGACAATGAGAATGACATGTGTCAATTAAGTTACAAACTTTTCAATTTTGACATTTGATGTGAACAAGTTGAATAAATTCAATTAATGTATAAGCAGGAAAAATTGTTTAGATTTTTTTATTAAATTTTTTTGTTAATATCAATTTTTAGGGCTGAGTTTAAGTATTTATAAATAAAATAATTTTATAAAAAAATATATAATTATTATATTAAAATTATAAAAATATAATAAATATTTCTTTTTTAATAAAATTTTATTATTATTAATTGCTCTTAAAATTAACAAAGCCCTTTATTAAAAGTGTTAATAAAAATTGTAGAATGACGTTTTTTAGTTAAGCTAATAATAAAGGAATAATCATAAACTTCAAAGAAACGAATTGCTTTCCGTTTTCAAGGAATGACACGACATTTGAATTTTAGACCTTATCATTAATTTTCAAGAGTCAAATATACCAACGTCGTTACTTGTACCTCATGCATTTGATAACTGGATGATATTAATTAACACGTAACAAAAAAGATCATTGATGTTAAAGTTTTTGAACTAAATAAATGGACTATCTTTTTATAAACATGCGACGATTTTCAGGTGACGATAAATTGGATACATTTTAAGTTTCTGGAGATGTCAACAAATGATCACATACCCTATCTTTGATTTTAAACTAAGTTGTTGAAAACACTCTATATGCTCCTAAATGGAGACACAAGTTTAATGTTTTAA